CGCTCAAGTTTCATCGGAAAGAAATTATACGGGAAGTTAACTAACGACCAGAGACGTAACAATATATATTTAAGTAATATTTATTCCATGATCTATTCATGAGGTTTCGGGCCACTTCACCACAGCTATGTATGTGATATATAGGAACTTGCAAACGGCTTATTTCTTCTATGAAAAAAAAAAAAAAGTGGTGGAAAATTATATAGGTTGACAAAATACTAAAACGTTCTGATGAATAATTTGCTCTGTAATATTATGCTTTAGAGCTTTGGGTACTAGTAGCTGCATAACAGGTTGGCTACCACATGTTACGGTCAATCCCATTATTCGTTGGTAAAAGAGTAGTCCAAGAACTGGCGGTGGGTGGTGATGACTAGCTGCCTTCGCTCTAGCCTTTCACTACTAAATTAAGGACGCTAGCGCAGATAGCCCTCGTGTAGCGTTGCGCGAAATTCAACACCAACCAAACCATTCTTTGCTGCATAATAAAATAGCACTCAAGTTAGGCCCGAGTCCTTCAGTTTTTCTACTTGAAGTTCCTTATTGGGTTTCTTTGGTGAGCATCCATGAACACAATTATCACTGCTTCTATGATCTATCCTCAATGCTGCTGCCATGGCTTTAACTTCTGCACAGTGTGAAGGGCCAACATATTCAATTAACAGACATAATCTTATCGTTTGTAGATATAATCTTTTTGTGTTTCAATGCTGCTGACCTGGTCAACGTTGTACAATAATGTACCTTTTCAGTGTGGCTATCCAATGCACAAAAAATACCTTCCAGATTTTTGAACTTAATTACCCATTTCAATCATGAATGATTCACTCAAATGATGAGCTCTCTGCCATACCAGTAGTGGTGGTTATCTTTGACAAATACTATTATTGTAAAGAGTTCCTTTTTTGTCATACTGTATCAGTGCTCAGGAACAGTAAGTACACGACGTGCATACACGGATTAGGCTCTCTATTCCATCATGTACTTGTGATAAATCCACTATCACAGGCATCAATAACCAGGGTGAATAAACAATCTTGACAAGGATAACCTGGCACCAGTGCTTTTACTGCTACACGTTTAATGACTAGAATGTATCTTTGCATTCTTGTCTTCGTACAAAGTGCGCACATCATTTTAATCAGTGCAAGTATTGGTGTGGTTATATTGAAGAAATTGACCATACATTGATGATATTACTATGTGAAAATTAGAAAGCTGTGGGTTGCTAATTTATTAGAAGGTAGGAATTAGTCCTTAACCACTGCAAGCTTTGCAGGTTCAGTGGACACTCTATCTCTAACAACTATGTATTCAAGAAACTACTTTCATCTGCATGAGCATGCATTTACAAGTTCTCAATTTGAAGTCTAGAACTTCATTATTGGATTCTCAGCTGCAGTTTGAAATGTGCGACCAAAGACGATTATATCATTCACACAGATGAGACATCTCTCCAATTTTGGTTTTATCAATTTAAGTTATTCTCAAAACACTTGGGTGTATTACACAGTCCAAAATTCATAAAGCGGAATTCATACAATCCTGCCAGAGTATTGAAAGCAGTCTTGGGTCTACTTTCATTATCCAATTTTACTTTCCAGTACCCAAAAGTTAGAGCTAGTGTACTAAACTAATGGGTGCCTTGCAATGCATCTAGGCATTCATTTGTGTGCTGTAAAGTCATCAAAGAACATTGACATTCCTTCTTTCTCTCTGACAATCACCAATGGAGACAACCGCACACTCTTCGTATGTTGTATAATTGCATCCTTCAGTATCCATTTGATTTCATAATTATTAATATTCCTGGTACTATAAGGAAGCCTATATAGTAATTATTTTATTGAACACATGTCATCTGATTTTAAGGGGCATCTGGCTCTACAAACACACCAGCAAGCTTTTAAAGCAATTCACGAAGTTCATGTTTCTGTCTGAAGTTCAGATTGTTTGCATAGTTCTCAGTTAGAAACTTCAGGTGATCTGGAAGTTGGGCATTCATTGAAAGAAGCGATACAATGGCTAAAGGGCTAGTTGGTGTCATTTCTACCTCTGTTGATGAGCATTACAAGTAAAAGCTGATTAGCTAAATGTCCATTTTTATAGACTAACGATGATGCAAAACCTATATTTGGTCAGATCTCTGTTCAGCCTGCTTTTCAGACAGAAAGCAATGTTCCTGCATTAGATTTATCACCACAGCAGATGGTGACAATGATCATACTGCATCAGTAGTACACCATGGAACATCGCTTACACAACTGAGGGAATTGCCCCAGAACTTCAGTTCACCTGATGCACAAGCAAAAACTGATTGACAGTTTCTGCAATAGGTGCATCCCTATGATACTAATACTTGAACCAAAATCAGAAAAAACTACTTTTGCCAAGCATGTTACATTGTCAAGATGTTGTTAGAGAAAAAGCTCTTCACCAGAACAAAGTTGACGTGAACTAGTTAAAGTGGAGTTTTCTACAGAGTTCCTAATCCACGAAACGTTGAGTAAGGTTCTGGTGCGCTACTATCCACTAAAAACCCTAACTTCGCATGTATCATTATCAGTACATATCACGTGACACCCAATCCAAGGTTCTCTAAACCAGACACCATGTTATTGCATGCTAAATGCTATACTTGTCCAAAATGGTGGCCAGATTTAATTCAGGCATAGATAGTTTAAACTAGCTGAAGTACTTTTGGGAGTACAATTCCATCTGCAGTTGTGGCGCTGCCATGACAGTATGACCAGGGAACCCTTGCTTTACCATTGGGAACCACAGGGCTGTGCCACAATGCCAGCTGGTGCACAGGAGCTGGCGGTCAACATTTCTGCTTTACCTTAGGGGCCAAAACAAACACTAAAGGCTGACTCATAGCTGAGTCTGCAGTTGCCACTTTTACGGGTTTCAGCAAAAATGTTGATGTGGCAACTTCAAACTTCATCATCACTGAAACTGCCTTCATGTTAAATGTCCTTCAGACCCATAAAGTACTGCAATGGTTTGCTTTACAGCCCCTCTATAAATGTATTGATGAACATCTCACTGCAATCTACATAAAAAATATTCAGGAATGCCATCTCATGCCATCTACTTAGCCTGTCCAAATAAATGGCCAAGTTTTCAAGGGGTTCTCACATTTATGATGTGAACTTGGCCCTATGTATTTCTCAATGGGCCAATCTTTGGCACAACTTGTTGACAACTGTTTACAAGTCAATGAGTTGTTTTTCGCTCAAGTGCTCTGTGGCATTAGGAACGGGTCTACCTATATCCAGCATCAAGCATTACACTATCCATTGCACTATTTGGTTTTTCGAAAAAAACAATTTACTTGAATTTCTTGAGGAAACATTCCAAATTCTTTTTAGTCATCCCTTGTCAACCAGCAGATTTACGTGTTACATCATCACTATAGTTAAATGGTGGTTCTGATAGGAATCTGCTACCAGCTTCTCTAATGCTATGTGGTTGACAAATGGTGCACACTCAGGGGAAGCCTTTGTTTTCTTCTCAAGCAGTGTTTCTTTACCTTTTCGATGCCATAACTGGCTCACTACCTCCTACTGTTGCAGATCCTTAAAAATGCAAATATTATGAAAAAACATTTTGATATACATATGACTATTCTAATAATGGCTGGAGACGGCTTAAATGGGTAATGAAGAAAAACTTTAATATAAGTTTAACATGACAGCAAATGTACAACGTTTCGACAAGATTTTGTTTGGTACCTGATGATGACAAAACCTTGTCGAAACGTTGTACATTTGCTGTCATGTTAAACTTATATTAAAGTTTTTCTTCATTACCCATTTAAGCCGTCTCCAGCCATTATTAGAATCCACACATATTAGTTCAGGAAATGTGGATTGTGATGTGCACCTATCACGTTTCTAATTTAACAGAATCCACACATATTAGTTCAGGAAATGTGGATTGTGATGTGCACCTATCACGTTTCTAATTTAACAGAATCCACACATATTAGTTCAGGAAATGT